GTGAAAATCGTGTTGTAGTTACGGGTAACTAGTTCCGTTTCCAGTGACAACTTGTCGGCCTTAGACGTCTTTGGCAAAGTGCGCGAAATTATAGTTGACACGACATGCGACACACGGCTGTTGATATTGTTACCAATGGAAACGAGGTAAGCTGCTCGTGACAACACCATAATTCAAGGCCAAAACTTTGTCACCAAACTTCCGTCGTGCCTCACTCAACTGATAATCGTAGTAAGTGATCCAGGATGAACACAGACTGCTTGCAGTATACCAGGCCGAACATTTATGTGCCACAGACACAGTAAGCTCACGCTTTCAGCTTGCAACATAGGCATAAGGTTAAGAATGGAAATAAAACAAGGAGACAGAAATGCCAAAGATTAATGGCATAAAAATACTGTCCTTGTCTTCTATGCAGGGTTTACAATAGGACTCTTAAATGCGGCATTCCCGACCCAATTTTCCTTGATTTCCATTCAGTAATCTTAATGAATGTAAGTCAGCCCTGATTATTTTAAGATGATTCCAAAGGAGCGGGGAAGAGGGGGGTTGTATAAACCCCTATTTCAAGGCTATTTTTTGCCCAAATCCCAGTCCTATTCCTATATTTTTGGTTTGCGGTTACGTTTCCAGTCCCAGTGATTAAAATGCCATTTTCCCAGTGACAAAATAATCAAATTCTAGTTCCCAATTAACTCCTCTAGGCCCCTCTTTTAAGATCCTCTTCTTAATAAGCATAGCCGTATCCAGCAGCTGGGAAAGTAGTTCGGCTTTTTGTAATTCAAAGTTCTTTCTTTGGACGTCGGTTATTATTTTTTGGTCATTAGGTCTTGGCCAACGGCTTGTAGGATAATGCCGATCAGGTTTTTAAGTTTTTTTCTGCGGATTGCAAATCTCTTGTTCCTCAGAAATTTAGTGTTTCACTTGACTTCACGTCTTGCTTAAATCGGTACATAACTTTAGAGTTGATTGTTCTTATCATTCTTTTAATACAAAGACTAAAGGCCTGAACTGCCCCTAAAGACATCAATTAATGGCCAAGCGGGCTAGGCACGTCGCAGAGCAGCCAAATATATTTGAAAGCGAACTTCGT